TTTCTGTAGTGGAATGTGGAGTAGCTCTATAATTCATTAAAAATGATTCTAATTCATCTCCAATATTTCGTCCGCTCATCACTGCACACAAAATTGTCTTCTTGATAATTCTGACTGTTCTTTCAGCAAGTCCATTTGCTTGAGGCCATAAAGGGGTTACTTTATGACGTTTGAATTTGAAATGATCAACAAATTCACCAAACTCTTGCCCATTGAAAGGTGGTCCATTGTCCGTTTTGAAATGATCAACAAATTCACCAAATTCTTGGCCATGGAAAGGTGGTCCATTGTCCGTTTTCATTTGATTGGTAATTCCAAATAAGGGAACAAAGAAAATAGTTTATCAATCACAGTTTCAGAGTCCTCTCTTGGTATTTCATAACAAACAGGGTGTACCTTGAATATTCGTCAAATACAACCATGATGTATTTACCATTAGGATAGGGTCCAGCAAAATCCATGGTTAAATTTCTCCAAGGACCTGTAGGTAAAGCTGTTACCAGAATTGGATCTCTACTTTTAGTGGATGTTGCTGCTTGATACAACAGACAGGACTTTATTTCATTTTCTACTAATTTATCCATTCCAGGAAACCAAACTTTGCTTCTGAGTAGTTGTTTCGTCTTTACTATTCCCAAATGACCTTTATGAGCTAGCTGGATAACCTGTTAGCAAAGAGTTTCTGGAATGACCAATTTTGTGTTCCTCAGAATTGTTCCATTTGCAACTCATATCTAACTTTTTTTTATGGTTTTAAAACACTGGTATTCCACAAATTCTCATCAGTGTTCTTCAAAGCCTCAAATATATGTTGGAATTCTCGGTCTCTTTTTGAAAATTTTATTACTTCTTCAAGAGAAATCGCCTTTGGAAGTGAGTTTTGAAGGATGAAGTTTATATACTCTGCAGGTTCAGATGTAGTATGTTCTACTGGTAATGGATGTCTAGACATGTAATAAGACGGATTATTTATACCTTATTGATGTTTTACTCTGAACTGGTATTGCTGAATCCTAAGACACAATCTTTCTATTCGGGCTGAGAATACTGATCGACGATTCTGAAGTATGCTGACAAGAGGTAAATGATCGGTATAGAGATTGAATACACTACCATATATGTAAATGTGGAAATGTTCGATTGCCCAAGTTATGGCAACCATTTCCTTCTCAATCTGACTATATCGCTCCTCTGTTTGAGATAGTGATCTGCTGGCGTATGCAACAATTTCAGGATTTTCATTATCTCCTTTTTCGATGATAGCTCCCACTCCACAAGGACCAGCGTCGACGTACAGGTGAATTTCTTTGTGAATATCAAAATATGCAAGATGACATTCTTCACTCAGCTGACTTTTCAAGAATTCAAATGTATCTTGAATTTTTTTTGTCCAAGTCCAACATGTATTTTTCAAGATCAATGTTCGCAAATGTTTGGTGGTACTTGCTAAATTCGGAATGAATATCCCAACATAATTAATCATACCCAAAAGACTTCTTACTTCAGATGCATTTTTAAATGTAATGTTTCGTCCTGTATATGCTGTTTTAGATTATTGAATGTCAAGTAGACTGTGAGTTGTCACTTTGCAGATTTAACTGAGAGATTGTTTAAAATAAACAAAGATTGAAAACTACTTCTACAATTTCAATTAATATTCCAACACGAATATTACATTTGGCGACGAGAATAACAACCCACGTCAGTAATGGATAACATCAATTCGAATTTTGTATCATTTGATACTAAATCCGATATAATCAATATTGGAACCAGATGAGAAAGATGGATCAATCGTTTTGAGATATATCTTCAGGCAATGAACATTACCAAAGAATCACGAAAAACAGCTATGTTACTGCATTTCATTGGAGATGATGCATATGATTTGTATACATCCTTACCAGATCCACCATCTTCATCTTCCGATAATGAGTGTGACAAAGCAAAATTGAAATTATCCAATTATTTCAAACCCAAAATCAATGTTGAGTTTGAAGTATATAACTTCAGACAAGCTAAACAGGAGAAACCTTGGATCAATGCTACGCTCGCTTGCTGAAATTATCCAAGAACTGTAATTTCGATGACCATATGAAAAAAATCAAGTCTCAAATTATTCTTAGTACTAACTCCACCCGGATTAGGCGAATTGCATTATCTGAACAATTAACACTAGAAGAGCTTTTAGCAATAGGCAAAACATTTGAAGCTACCGATCATCAACTTATTGCTATTGAACAGAAAAAAAAACAGTAAATTTTTCAAAAACCAGCAAAGAAAGCAGGAAGGATAGAAAAGATAATGGCTATTTCAAGCACAATAAGTCAAAATGTCAAACTAGAAATTTTGAATCTGTCAAAGAAAATGAAAATATTCGTGTTGGAATATTAATTGAAATTGTAGAAGTAGTTTTCAATCTTTTTTTATTTTTAAACGATCTCTCAGTTAAATTCGCAAAGTGACAACTCACAGTCTACTTGACATACAATTATCTAAAACAACATATACAAGACGAAACATTACACGTTCTACTCAGCATATTGACAAAATTGGGACTCTCTAACCAACTGCTTACTCTAATTGAATCATATCTAGTTAACAAAAAACAGTTCGTCGAATATGAATCTTTCAAATCGGCCGAGTACGTAGTTACATCTGGGGTACCACAAGGTTCTAATCTTGGACCCTTTTAATTTTCATTTTTATTAATGACTTGGCAACCTCTTTGAATATTCTTAGCCTACTATTTGCAGACAACCTGAAACTATCATAAAATCGACGACATTACTGACTGCCAACGTGTACAAAATGAATTATAGTCTATTTCAAAAGAATGTAGAGTAATAAAATCTCATTAAGTATTCAAAAGCGCTACAGGGTAATCCGTCAATAAATTCTGTCACTTCCCTAGTCCGCATTGCAAAATTATGTCGCTTCATAAAGAGCAGGTAGGTATCACCCTGTTTTAAGGGATTTGTCCATTGTTATCGACGGATAAATACTGAGCCAGAGGCGCGCTAGTGGGATAATTGCCAAAAGAATATGCATTCATAAAAATTATATTAAAGGAAATAAAAATTTAATACAGCAGAACAGTGTTATTAAAAAAATATAAAATGTAACAATAAAATATATACGAACCGAAATCGGGAAATACTCACAAACACACACGAACGAACTTTACGTATTGAAACACTTGTGGGGACTTTAAATCAATTTATTCACAAAAACGACAAGAACTTTACTGGATACGTTATTACAATTTGACACTTGAACAATACTAAAACTGTGAACTTCCCTTAACGTTTAACAACACTCT